ATGAAAATTTTCAACTTTTTAATCAGATTTTTTAGAATTTGCAGATAGGGTATGCAGATTTATAGCCCAATCAATTTTATTATAATAAAGTGCAAGTTTTAGTTAGCTAGGAATTACCGGCATTTTTTTTCACGCAGTCTCTTCCATACAAAAACTTTTTTTCGTAAATACCTTATATGGAAAAAATGCAAAAGACCTTCAACAAAAACAAATTTCAAAAATCCACGCGATTTTTTACTAACTCTGAACTTGCATTTTTTACTAGAATTCAATGGGCTGCAAAACTGCATACTCAAAAAAATTCTAAAAAATCTGATTAAAAAGTTGAAAATTTTGATGAAATTTTCGCGAGTTTTGCACAAAGTTTAGGAATTATATTTTTATGTTTTTTTGTTGTTGAATGAACCATGTTTTTATACAAAATTGGCGGAAAAATATTAGAATAAAAATTGTTGCATATATTGTGAAAAATTTGCTGTGCCAATACCTTGTTCCGGCAGTGTATATGCCAGAAAAGGGTGGAGAAGAGCTCTATTGGGGCCCCTGCAACATATTCGGTTTAAATATCTGTCTACCAGAAGGTGCGACTGCAACCCAATGAATCCCGGGATTGGTTTGAGCGCAGGGTTAGAAGTCCGCAACCTAAAAATTTGTTCCAATGAAAATGTTAAGCTATCCGCTACAGGCGTTGAGGACAGACTGACTGGTTGCGAAATGCTGATGAAGTCACACTGGCGTGATGCATACATATATAAAAATATATACAATAGAGTGGTCCAATTTTTGTATTGGGGGGAAAAAAATCATGGGACAGAAAAGGGGGCCCTTAGTTTTTTCCGTTTGGTATTTGTAATATCTATACCGAATTTCAATTTTCTACTATAACCAATATCTACAGAATGTTCAAAGACCTTTAAACCAATTGTTTGATTAATATATATATATATATATATGTACACAATACTTCTAGAGTAAAAGATGAGCATTCTCTTAATGTATACTTAGAAACGTAAAGTTTGGTACCAGCACCTCTTTCGGCAAGAGGAAACATTTGGAAGTGCCCCAAGCCCTATCTCGGAAAAAAATTGTTGGACCACTCTAATATACATATATGTATATATATATATATACACGTACCAAGACAGCAGAAAAACGTAAATTTTGCCGACAGTGCGGTCTAGTAAAATTTTCCGTATACGGTAAAGAATAAAAACCACTACAATTTTCGTATCCACAAACGTTCACAATACAAACGGTGCTGTCGTATCCGGAAACGAATAGAAAACGACTACAGTAGTTATCATATTATTTTCGTATCCAGAAAACGTTCGAAAAAGATGATGCTGTTTGAAAGCAATAATTGTATTTTATTCGCTCAAGCAGAACTCCGACAGGCGCCTCTTTATTATTATTACCCTTTTTTTTAACCACAAAAAAGTATCTTTGAGGTGCAGAAGGAAAACGTATTAAATGAAAATTCAGTCAAACAATTTTATGAAAAACAGCCGAAAACGTCTCTGTTTCACGAAAATTGTCCAAGTATCGACATACCGTGCATACGTTCCCGTTACAAACATTTATACTGCTCGTTTTTTTTTCTTGGGTCGCAGGGGTGAGTCAAAAAGTTGTTTTCGGGCAAATAACCATAACTACAAAATGTTCTCAAAAAAGCTAAGAAACTACCCAAAACCATGTCAACGCGGAAGAAACAGCTTCGTGCCAACTAAACGTCAAATCGTACAAGATTATAAGTTTAAGATTTGAGCGGCAGCGAACACAATAACGCTAAATTAATAGTACACTTTTTTCACTTAATAATCAGCATAACAAGCATACAAACATACAGTGCCGGACATAAGTATTGGCACATAGAATTTTTCGCAATGTATACAAAGTTTTTTATTCCAATTTGTTTCGCTAATTTTTTATAAAAATGTACTTCATGCTACAATTAAAAAAAAAAAACTAAAAATTAAATCTGTAAACCTTGTGCAAAACTAAGAAAAATGCAATGAATTTGTTTAATAATTACCAAGTATCTAATTAGATTCTAAGTATGCCCACGGTGTTATTTTTTTCAATACAAAAAAAAATACAAAAAAAAAACATTTACTAACTGCGTGAAAAAATGCCAAACTCAACGTAGTTTCAAACTTGCACTTTGTTGTACTAAAAACGAATAAGCTATAAAATTGCATACCTAGAATTTTTCTACAAAATTTGATCAGAAGTTGCAGATTTGTTTGTATACGAGCGTATAGACAAGAACCGGTAACTATTTCTGCTGGGAACGAACTACGCTTGCCCCAAATCTCTTCATGTGGATTTTAAGTTCATTCGGCTGTAAGTTTTTTTTATTCAAATACAAATTTAAAAACTGAAAACAGAATGGTTTAGAAATATAATCAGCTTTATCATGAGTTTCATTTTCCCCGAACCGGTTCACTTTTCACTTCTCGTTTCCATGTATTTACTATGGGCGGATAAAAAATTTTCGGGTGAACTTTTTCGGGGAAAAGGCAGAAAATTAAAAAAATGTGTTCAGGCATGCAGTTTTGTAGCCCATTCAATTTTAGTCTTATAAAGTGCAAGTTGCACGTTGCAAAAAAATTTTGTTTTTTTTTTCTGGAAGGTGTTGCGCATTTAATAATAATAATATAAAAGATTGGCGCTTATACATATGTTAGTGTTTGGCCGAGCTTTTCCTTCGACTTGTGGCGTGCGCCTTGATGTTGTCACACAAAGCGGAGGGACCTACAGTTTTACGCCGACTCCGAACGGCGATTGTATTTTTATGAGAAGCTGTTTTTCATGGCAGAAATACACTCGGAGGTTTGCCATTGCCTGCCGAGGGACGACCGCTGTTAAGAAAAAACCTTTTTCTATATTTTTTGGGATGTTGCTTTGACCAGGGCTTGAACCCAGGTGCTGATGTGTGAAAGCGCGCACTGCTTGCGCATTTAATTCTATATAAAAATCGATTTTGAAAAAAAAAATTTAAACTTTTTTTCAGAATTTTTAGCAGCTGGCAGTCTTGTAGCCCAATTCAAGTGCAAGTTTCAAGTCACTAACAATTACCGTTGATTTTTGTTTTTTTTTTCGTAGAAGATATTAGGCATTTTCCTCTATATAAAATTAGATATCGAGGGCTTATATTCAATACCCTCTATCTGAAATTTTCACAAAAACTACGTTGTGATGTTAGAACCAATCTGGGATGTACCCGTCACCCGCGCCAAAAAATTCTCAAAGATCAAAGGTCAGATTTTAGTTATTCGAAAATTGCGTTTTATTAAACTAAAATTGAATAAGCTGAAAAGCTGCATACTCGAAAATCTTCTAAAGACTCTGAATAAGAGGTTTGAAATTTTGATGAATTTTTTCAGTCCCGAGGCTACAGCTAAGCTAATCTCACTAAGTAATGATGAATAATTGCATAAACAACTAGATTCACTATGTGATTACACACTGTAAACTTCCTTGCCTTCCGTTTTATATTTAATTTTAAAAACTAATCACTTCAATCTCGCTATAAAATGATGCTCAAAATATATTTTTTTTATCTTTTTAGAGATATTTTTTTTAAGTAAAACACCATCAATTTAAAGGAATTTAAAAGAAAATGACAAAAGCACAGTTCACGTCAAAAGGGTGCAATGGCGGCCAAGAAGAAGTGAAACTACCTAAATATAAATATTTATATCACGGATCGAACTATATTTTTTAAGTGAAAATTATTAAAAATAAATAAATAAACATAAGTTGCAAACAATATCATTTTGAATTTTGCTACTATCTTATTGACCGCAACCTGTATGTACATATATATGTATGTATGTAAATAGTAAGCAAAAGGTATAAAATAAAAAATATCAATTAGCTGATAGCAGCAGCAGCGAAACACCAAAAAATAATATATTTATACTCTTGTATTGCTTTAATCTAATACAGTAACTCATAAAATAACTACACAATTCTTATTTTACAATATTCAAAACGTTATTCATGGTATAAATTTTCGCTAAATTTTTATACAAATATAACAAAACACATTTACATACTTTGTAAATCTATGTTCCAAACTTATTGCAAAATTTTAAAAAATTCCGCATATTCCCTCCAATTTCGTTCCAAAGATGTACGGAGAAAATAAAGAACTGACGTTCAGTTATCAAGCTGTTATATTTTAAGATAGAAATCAGTAGAGATCGAGAAGATCTATTGATCTGAAGTCGTTGTTCGAGATACTGAGGCTTTCGAGTAGTTTGAGGTGGCTCAATCGCGTTGACTTTTATTGCTGACGGTGTTGCGCATTTTCATTAATTTAACGAGTGCTCTTACATACATATGTATGTACAGATGCGTGCAACTAATTAGCAACGAAATTCAAAACAATATTGCTTGNTTTTAATCTAATACAGTAACTCATAAAATAACTACACAATTCTTATTTTACAATATTCAAAACGTTATTCATGGTATAAATTATCGTACAATTTTTATACAAATATAACAAAACACATTTACATACTTTGTAAATCTATGCTCCAAACTTATTGCAAAATTTAAAAAAAAATTCCGCATATTCCATCCAATTTCGTTCCAAAGATGTACGGAGAAAATAAAGAACTGACGTTCAGTTATCAAGCTGTTATATTTTAAGCTAGAATTCAGTAGAGATCGAGAAGATCTATTGATCTGAAGTCGTTGTTCGAGATACTGAGGCTCTCGAGTAGTTTGAGGTGGCTGAATCGCGTTGACTTTTATTGCTGACGGTGTTGCGCATTTTCTTTAATTTAACGAGTGATCTTACATACACACATACATATGTATATGGAAGAACGTGCCCATCACGATTTTTGAGCTTATGATTAAAAATTTTAAAATTTTGATGATAATTTGCAGAACTGGGTATTTTTCTGTTATATAACTGTGTACTTATTTTTGTGAGTTACTGTATGTATGTATAGTACATAATTAAATCACTAGGCAATACTTACTCGGCAATAATGTGATAAAGTCACGCTGCAGCATCGGTTTGAGAAACGCATTTATGTGTCCATGCTGGTAGTGGCACATGCGCGTGAGCAGCTGCTCCACGNCTATTCAGAAAATTTTCGGGTATGCAGTTTTGTAGTCCATTCAATTTTAGTATAATAAAGTGCAAGTTTCAAGTCGCTAAACATTACCGTTGATTTTTTAGAATTTTTTTTTGTGGAGGGTGTTGCGGATTTTTTTCCATGTAAAAAAAAATTTTGATCATGTGTTATATGGAAGCAATATCGTTTTGAATTTCGTTGCTAATTAGTTGCACGCATCTGTATATGGAATAACGTGCCCATCACGATTTTTGAGCTTCTGATTAAAAATTTTAAAATTTTGATGATAATTTGCAGAACTGGGTATTTTTCTGTTATATAACTGTGTACTTATTTTTGTGAGTTACTGTATGTATGTATAGTACATAATTAAATCACTAGGCAATACTTACTCGGCAATAATGTGATAAAGTCACGCTGCAGCATCGGTTTGAGAAACGCATTTATGTGTCCATGCTGGTAGTGGCACATGCGCGTGAGCAGCTGCTCCACGAATTCAACCTGATCCGCTTCGTTCCATTGCGAGAAGTAGGTTAAGCAGGTCTCACGTTCATTTTGAAATATTTGCGATGATTCTTTCTTACGGACGGGATCATACAGCATTGTCGATGTGAACTGTTTTTTGTGGTTGTTGTTTTTGGTATAATGATGTTGTATATCGATGTAGGTGAATTTCCAGTGTTAGAAAAACGGCAAGACATCAAATATGGTAAAAAGACCGCATAAAAAATGTTTTACAAATAGAAAGAAAATATTAAAAAACATTAGTAAGTAATTAGCAAACGAATTAACAGACAAACAAACATTCATATATAAATCGATAAAACCACTTGACTTTCGATTTAAAAAGAATAACTTTATCTTAAAAATGTTTATATTTTTACTAAGCATCTATTAAAGGGGCATCTTAAACTGCACCTATGGCTACCCCTATTCTGGAACCCGAATTTTCGTAATTCGTAATTCGACATGCTGCAACCCTTGTGGAAACCTGTGCAGCATTGCCAGCTATCAGTTGTTTTTCGAAGACAGTATGAAGCAAAACAAAGTGGAAACGAATTAAAAAAAAAAAACATTCATTAAGTGCTTATTTATGGTAAAATTTATTGATTTTTCATATTTTGAAGGAAACGATGGATTCTATGCCAATTGCAATTATAGCAGCAGAGTAAGAGCGCGCTATGGAAGTGAATTCACAAAGGTATGCGGAGCTGTCGGGCATAGTAACCATGGACGCATCTATGTCAGCTTCCGGTTTAATTATTCAACCACAACCTCCTATGCCTGAAGAACTGGTTCTCAATCCAGTTAATGCAATAACAACTTCTTCCAAGCCATTGAAAACACGTGTGTCAAGTTAGCACTACACTTTTCGAAATTGGAAAAGTTAACTACGGCATTAATTGTAGTGTTTTTGTTGTAAATTTGTTGTGGAAAGAAAAAATTTGTAGCTCTCGTTTTTTAAGAAAAAATGGTATGTAGTGCTAACTTGACACCATACACCTAGTCGATAGAATTGAGATAT